TACTGTGGACTGACTCTTTCACGGCTCTTTGTTGCATACGTAATCATCGCGTCTGGAAGACCTATGTTCAAAATCGCGTGAAGGAAATTAGAGCCATTACTGCTGAATATGAATGGAGACATTGTTCTGGAGAGTTCAACCCAGCGGACTTACCCTCTCGAGGATGTACGGGAAGCTAATTAGTTAGTTCTGAATCTTGGTGGAATGGACCTCAATTCTTAGCCAGCTCTCGTGATCGATGGCCACCAGAATTGCAACCAACGAGCATAGATTGTGATCAAGCCAATCTCGAATCTATGAAGAATCCTCCCTTGATAATCCGCTCATTGTCTGGCATTTCACCTGCCCGTAACAATGTTATACAAATTGAGGAAATAATGGACATCCTACGATACAGTAAAAAGATAAGGTTATTGCAAGTAACTGCCAGTCATTCGGGTTTAGAGAGTAATCAGCAAAAAAGCCATCAAGCATCATACATCATCTTTCGAATTGAGTGCAGTCGAGATCCATGAAGCTGAACAAATATGGATACGTCGTATTCAGTCATCCGAGTTTAAGGAAGAGATCGATTGTATTTGTAGTGGTTGTAGCCAATGTTTATTGACGATGACCAAATTTTGCGCTGCAAAGGTCGAATCTGCGAATCTTTGGTGCCAGAACCTGCCAAGCAACCGATTCTGCTCTCCCCGAAGCATCCTTTTAATAAGCTAAACGGGCTTGATACAACCGACCCCAAAGGCCGGTTGTTCGAAAGATGGATAACTTATCCAACGGATAAGTCCTATCTAACGGATAAATTTGCTACCCAGTGGATAGTTATCTATTGGATAAAAACGCGTTGCACGAAGCGTGAATAGTGGAGTGGATAGCTATCCAATAGATAAGTTAAAACTTACCAGGAGAAAACAAGATTATCCTGAAATTTCGAACCACAACGTCAACTGTTGAATTCAACTGTTGCTAAGCATTTATAACATTGAATTCATAATCATTACAAATTCTCGAGTAGTTACTGAATGGAAAAGACGTGAACAAATAATTGCTCGAACTTCACATAATAGTGATTTTATTTTAAACACATTGCAATTTTATTCCTTGACCTTGCGACGCTTTGCCTTTCGGTTGCATAACAAATTTAGGAACACTATTTTAATGTTTTGATTGGCTAATTCCCGGCTAATCTAAGCATAGAACAAAATTCGTGGCCTTGTTGTCTATACTTGTCTATTGCGTGAATGAAATTACTTAGATATTAGCAAGTTTCCTTGGAATAGGTTGAATCTTTCTATGCATATATTCGCGTTTATAAACTGATTATAAGCGTATATAGTAAATTTACCGCCTGTTATAAATGTGAGGATGTCCAAAAATTCGCCACTCGGAACGGAATGTGTAGGTAACGTAAAACGCTGCTGCGACAAATAATTTTATATCAACATCGGCTGGGGATTGCACTTCGAAAATATTTTTAATAGTGAGTACAATTATGATGTACATTAATTTGTATATACATATTAGTTTGTAGTAACAGGAATATTGCATTTTTGTCCTTTTTTATCTAAATGTTTACAGTGTTATCTTGTATTCTTGAGTTTATCCTCTTGGCTTTAAACTACCTCCGGACCTTGGATAAATTTATCCAGTAGATAGCGATTTTTATCCGCTGGATAAAGTTATCCAAGCTTCGTGCAACCCAAATCACACGCTGGATAAAACTTATGCGTTGGATAGCGAGTTATCCGTTGGATAGCGACTTATCCACCTTTCGAACAACCGACCCCAGGGGCCGGTTGTTCGAAAGATGGATAACTTATCCAACGGATAAGTCCTATCCAACGGATAAATCTGCTATCCAGTGGATAGTTATCCATTGAATAAAAATGCGTTGCACGAAGCGTGGATAGTGAAGTGGATAGCTATCCAATAGATAAGTTAAAATTTGCCGGAAGTAAACAGGATTATCCTGAAATTTCGTACCACAACGTCAGCTGTTGCTAAGCATTTACAACATTGAATTCATAATCATTACGAATTCTCGAGTATAGTTACTGAATGGAAAAGACTTGAACAAGTGATTTGCTCGAACTTTGCACTTCACATCATAGTGATTTTATTAATTAAACACATTGCAATTTTATTCCTAGCGACTTATCCGTTGGATAGCGACTTATCCACCTTTCGAACAACCGGCCCCAGATGTTTTAATCGTCCTATTAATTCGCGCACGTGGCACGCGATATTTTTTACAGAGATAAACGAACAAAATTAATGCAGTTCTTGTGTCAATTCGCTTGTGCAAAAATACTTATTCGCCTAAAAACAATTATTCGCCTTAAGCTCGGTGATTAGCGGGGAATATTCACCGAGACGAAGTCGAGGGAAGTATTCCCCGCCGAATAATTGTTAAATATTGGTTTGGTTCGTTTAACTGAGGCGAAAAATTGTTAAATATTGGTTTAAAACCTTGAAATTCAGCTACTACAATGTGTAATGCGAAATTGCCGCGTGGCTATTTCGCGAGAAAATATCTCATTTTATTTGGCCCATATTTTTCGTAAGTGTATACGCGTGAATTATTAGAGCTTCGTCGCGTCCGACCATATATCAGACTTAAAATTTTTAATTAAGAATTAAAAAATAGGTACGCAATGCGTACATGTGGGTAGCCTGTAAAACATTATTAATGCGATAAAGCTGCTATAGTGGCAAGTAAATATCAACTGATGCAATAAAATATTATTTTCTAGTCTTATGTTCTAATGCCATAGACAACGGAATAAACGCCCTATAATTAGCTGGTTCAATACAGTTATAACGAAGTCGATTTATTATGCAATCTATATATTATAATATTTTATTGTATTAAATACATTTTAGGACAGATATACAAAACATATATAAAAGCATTTTTACAAGAGATAGAAAATGAAATTTTTGCATTGCATTATAATTTATAAAACAGGGCAACTTGTTACTACCATTTGCCGAATTATAATTTATAAAACAGGGCAACTTGTTACTACCATTTGCAATAAGGTAATGTATTTGGTTTAATAGTTGCATGTCCACAAGCAAGAAAGACAGGTGAAATATTGAATTATAATTTATAAAGCAAGGCAACTTGTTACTACCATTTACCAAATTATCATTTATAAAACAGGGCAACTTGTTACTACCATGTGCAATAAGGTAATGTATTTGGTTTAAGGTGGCTCGATACAGTTTCTCGAATTTTTTTTTGGCTCATTTTAAACAGGAATATTAAGCACCTAAATATTTCACTATAAGGCTAAAAGTTAATATACTTTGCAGGAAACATATATAGGGCGGAAATATTCTCAGAACCTTTGCCGGGCACACGTTACTATGGAAACAGAGACGTTTCAAAATGGCCGCCAAACAAGGTTTTATCGTGTTTATATCACAAACGAGTTCGGTGACCCCCAATGTTTTTTGCATTAAACGTTTACGCTATAGATTATTTATCTGTGAAAAAGTTTTTAAAAAATTCTAACATGGGGGAATTTTTTAATAAGTAAAAATATCGTTTTTGTAAATAGAAAAAATTCCTCATGTTAGAATTTTTTTTAAAGTTTTTCACAGATAAATAATCTATAGCGTAAACGTTTAATGAAAAAAAAACTGGGGGTCACCGAACTCGTTTGTGATATAAACATGATTAAACCCTGTTTGGCGGCCATTTTGAAACGTCTCTGTTGCCATGGTAACGGGTGCCAGGCAAAGGTTCTGAGAATATTTCCGCTCTAGATATGTTTCCTGCAAAGTATATTAACTTTTAGCCGTATAGTGAAATATTTTTGGTGCTTAATATCCCTGTTTAAAATGTGCATCTAAAAATTTCGGAAAATTGTATCGAGCCACCTTAATAGCTGCATGTCCACAAGCAAGAAATTGACAGGTGAAATATCGCATTATAATTTATAAAACAGGGCAACTTGTTACTATTTATTTTCTATTAGTGTAACTTTGTAGTTGTAGATTCAACGCTCACCGATCACCGCTTTTGCGTCTTTAAAGTACTCAACTTCGCTTTAAAATTTGACAAACGTATTAACGTAACTTCGGTTGCTTCCGTCCTTCGAAAACAACGAAATTTTCCGGAAGTAGAACGTACCGTTCGTCATCTTTCGTATATCCGACGATTGCCGAAGATTGCCACACACACACACACAGATCCGGACACTTTTTCGACTACATAGTGGTTAGCCGCGCATGCGCAGGCTACCCACAAAAACGAGTCGCGTGCCTTTATGGTGTAATAATGCACGATGGGGGAATGTTGGGAGAATACGAGAGAAGCTTGTAAAACACGAGGCGTAGCCGAGTGTTTTACAAGCTTCTCGAGTATTCTTCCAACATTTCCCCGAGTGCATTATTACACCATAAAGGCACGCGACGAGCTTTTTTAATTCTTTTATAATATAAGAAGAAATTATAGGGCAACAACAAAGTTTATTTATTTGATCAATAATGAAATTCTCCTTACATGTTATTTAAGATGTTGCTTAGCAACAAAAACTTCAAGGCCAGAAGCGTGCATTATGGCCTCACAATGCACGCGCGGTAGCCAATCAAATTGCTCGTTATATCATACTTATATTATAAGGATTTTTCAGTCACAAGGACACACTTTAGAATCGCTTAGGAAGTGAATATGTGGGACGCAGATTTGAGAACTGTTGTTATGCCTGGTCTTTATTTATGCTCAAAGCTGGATTCTCAACCAGGACGCTCGTGAAAAAAAATTTTAGGTTTCGGGACCGAGTCGTTGTTGTTTGTGATTGGAAAAGGCGTATTATTATTTCACGTATAGAGCCCGAAATTTCGAAGAAGAATTTTTAAAATTCAGTCTCAGAAACCAAATTCTGGCGAGCAATATAATATTATTCTTTAATATCAGGAGCCCCTTTAAGGAATTACTTAAAAAATCGCTTCTATTGTAAAAGCAACACCTAAATTTTTTATTTAAATTTTAGGAGGAATTTGGAGGAAAGATCCCGTGGAACAACTGACACAAGCTCCCAAAGTGCAGAAGGTGAAATTTCTTTAATGATTTTTTTATCTTCGGAATTTGACATAATTATTTACAGTTTATTGCAATTTAATAACGTAGATAGGTCAAAAATGAAATATATAAATATAAGTAAACCCGATACATGATTTCAAAGAGTTTAGAACATTGAAAATGTTTAAATACATAGTGCTAACAGCAAGCAATAATTTATGGTATTTTTCTACACATCATGTTTGGGGTTTGTTATTTTTCTTAAACTACATTTTCCTCCTTGCGTAAAGGAGGCTTTGAAGCACAGATTGAAATTTCTCAAACTGCGGTTGTCTTCCGTACTATGATCTGTATATTTTCATACTTGTACCAAATTTTACTTTTGCACGTACGTTCTCAATACACAGTGGTGTGGTTTTAAGTGCAACTGATGAAGGCCCGGGGTAACGGTGTGAAAGCTTTACAATATGAAATAACGAGTGCGTACCTACATGCTAATTTATTTGTATTGTGATATCACCTTGCCTAATTACAAGAGTATTAAGTTATTCTGAGTAAAAAAGGAGTTCTATGATTGTGCAATTACCATCGTAACGAGCATTGGACACACCCAATGATGTAAATTGGATGACGGAATTTCTTAAAAAGACAATTAAACCAATTTTTACAATGTAATGATGGAATTGCTTTAATTGGCTCTAAATATATTGCCCATGCAGGCTCTGAACTAGAAGGCAAACTATTAATGTGAAACGCCTACGTGCTATGGCCTATCTCACAAAAATTTTAGATATTTTACTTACGCTTAACGAAAAAAAACATTTTAGTTAATCGAAAAGACAAAGGGGTTAATGAAGGTTTTGCAAATGTTCATAAACTATCGAGAACCATACAATAGAACAATGAAACAATAGAGTAGGCCAATCGTACACTTTTGTTTGCTTAGGGTAAAACCCTAATTCGTAAAACGTTTTGTTAAATTCTCCCGTTCTTTATATATTTCGAAGAGAAAAAAACCACCCAGGATCGATTAGGGAGACCTTTTAGATTGTATCCTTCAATTTTTTTCAAAACAGTATAACTCATAATTTTGTGGTAGTGTATCCATAATCACAGTAGTTGTTTAAAGTATAGAATAATACATTGCTAAATTTATTTATTTACTGGAATAGGTCGTTGAGAATGCCGCGGAAAAGGAAGTCATAAAGCAATTCAACAATCTGGCTGGTGTGAGATCAAAGGATATTTTTTCTGAAATAAACTTCTTGAAGAAAGTCATCAGTTATTGGTCATATCTTGATCTGTCCTTTCATAAACCGCTTGTTGAAAAATGGCGAGTGCTAGAATCCATGAATAAAGATCTAGAGAACGAATCTCTCATGTGTGTCTTTTTCGAACTGGCGAATTTTTCCAATGGTTTTGCCAATGCTGCATCTCACATGACCGGGTACTTGGTTAGCGAAATTCTAAAAATGGGCAAGGAGAATGGCGCTAAAACAGAAAAAACAATGGGAGAGCTAGTCACCTCATTAGAGTATGAAATCTACAAGAAATATCGTGTTCTATTGGAAGAATGTCTTTGCAGCTCTTGTACTTCAGTGATACATTTTGATGATAATGTGAAGTAAATATATTATGAATATAATATATTCCCAGACGCAAAATCAATACTGGTGGTAGCTAAATTAGGAAAAAAAATATTGCAATGTATATTAGGGTATAAACCTCATTTTTTTGCTTTTCCAATTTCAGCAGCGAAAGTACATCCAAAATTGAGAAACGTCCAATGCACTGCGAAACTGTAGATATCTGGGCCGAAAGATTGATGAAGATTTCTAAAAAACTCTCTGCAAAGACCCTTAAAAAGTGCGAATCATTTTTTTCCGCAACACCGAAAATGTCGCCGCCAACAATTTCCCTGGCAAGACCAAAAGACGTTCAAACCTGCACACCACGATTTATGAATATTTTGCCTTCTGACTATGAGGACTACCCATGCACATGGCTCACTAGTCGTTCCCCAAAAACTCTTCAGGCAGAACTTGTTGAGGTACCACGTCAAAATGTCGCCTTATCGGCGGGAGATGCCGGTCATCTGATCATCTCATCAGCGATGAACCCAGAATTTAACAGACATATAACTAATCCAAATGCAATACATGATACCATTCAGTTCAAAACCAAGGCAAATGCCTCTCCAAATGTCGACACGGCCTTTCGATTATATGGCAAACATGGGAACGGATTCATGATACGACCAGTGAAGACAATACATTCAGGTGTTGATAGCCTCCGTTTTGCCCGCCGTGTAATAACCGAGGCTCAACACGTATTTTTTCACATGCCTAGAGACAACGTAGGCGAGGTAACTGTTAAGAAGGACGAGTATGGCTGTCTTTTGCTGGACATTTATGTTCAGAGAGATGAAGGTGCTGAAATTCGTTTGCTAGCTGAGGTCTTAGCTGCAGAAGGTCTTACCGTACCAGTTGTGGAAGAAGGCGTCGACGAAGGAATATTTAAATCTATGATAGATGCAAAACGCAGACATGCCGGTCTTTTTGAGTTACCAGCTGAGACACGGAAATTTCCATTCAGACCTTGGGACATACAACAGGGAGAAAATCCATTAAAAAATCAAGAAATGACTGAAGAAAATTTTTTAATGTTCCGAACAGTAGATTCAATGTACGCCACCGAAGCTCTTCTTTACGCTGCTCCATCGACATTAAATGACTCTGGCATTGGTTTATTCCTACATCCTAGATTAAGAAAGATATCCGCAGGATCTTATTTGTGCACATATGCTACATCATGGTCTCATATCAACCGTCTGAGGAAGATGGTAAGTTCATTAGCGGCCGCAGAAGATCGTTAAGTGGGGGGGGGGAATTCATATATTCATGTTAACAGACCGTAAAAACAATTAATTTAAAAAAAAAACACTAAAAATCCTGAAAATGAATGTTGAATATTTGCGTCTCCCGTCTCGATTTTTTAACTTTTCAATGAGTGGAAAAAATATATTTATGGCGGAAAATCTAAAAACATGTCTTACTGCACTTTTTCTAGGGTAGCTGCCCCCCGCCAGCCACCCTATACCACGCTCCCTTCGCTCTGTACGTCCCTGTTGGTATTTTAGAGTTAACTAAGATTTAACTACGCAAATTGTAGCGTTTTACAACCGGTCCTTGAAATCTATATAAAATCTATGAATATGCCTTTATTCTTGAAGAAGAGGCATGCCCTGGGACGAAGTATTTGAATAATAAACCTTTTTAAACCTTAAAATTTAGTTCTTGATTTGCATATATTGGATATGCCAAAATAGAAAAAGTTGAGACACTTGGGAATGCTTCACATTCTTCGCATAGTTTTTTTTATTTTATAGGTTCCTATGTCCTAGAAGTTGCCGTCAACGGCCACACACGATTTTACGACGCTACGAGTTATGACGGTGCAAACATTGGCCGGTTTGCCAATGAAAATGGTGTGCTGGAAGCTCTCAAAGACGTCAAAAGGAGGTCGGACAAGAAAAAGTTCACCAACTTCCATGAATCAGAGTGGAAAAAAGTGAACGATGATTTGGCACAGAAAGCGAATGCCTGCTTCAAGGTGCATGGAAATGAGCTGCATTTGATAGCAAAAGTCGATATTCAACCCAGCAAAACACCTATCGAAATTTTTACCTCTTATGGGGATATTAGATCGTTTTGGATTGCAGGCATTGTTCGTCATCCAGAGAATTACCCAGCGAATATGGTAAAAATTGTTAAATCTCTTTTTAATTCTCATCGAAGCAACTGGACTATTGAACAGAAGCAGCGTTGGGGAAATTGCGAAGATTTATTAGATGAGAACAATAAGGTGTGCACATTTAGCGAAGTGTTAATTTAAGCGTTTTGTTCTCGAAATCTAAGGTCACTGTCTCCTGTATTTTAAAAGCTCACTCATGCACACTCAGTTCAGTAGGAGATATCAATTACTTCATAGCGAATTTTCGCGGTATTTCTACGCTAGTAAAAACTTGATCTCTTTATAGTTTTCCTATAAAACGTTCCATTAATCAGTGGTCGGATCAAGGTACAGGCTAAGGCCTAATTTTAAATTCAAAATACTTTAGTAACAACGCTATTGGCTTAAAATTTTAAAGAATATTTTTAAATAAAAGTCCATCAATGTGTCTGCAAGTTGGAGCCGTAGTAATTTATTCAGCCTTATACCCTGATCAGTTTCTATGTTCCACTAAAGAAGTGCGAGTGAGCTTTTTCAATACAGGCATATGCAATGGTTGTATATTTTCAGAAATTTCTATTGAAAAAAGAAAGCGTATATCTCTCGCGTCCAATCAGCAACGGATTAAATGCCAAGCAAAGAAAAATTATTCGGGGCTTGGTCTAAGGGTAATGAGTCTTCCCTTTGCCATTAGGCACTTTAAGATTGACGTTTACGGGATACGGGAAACTAAAATTTTAAAATTAACTGTCCATCTGAATTAACTGTCGAAAACCTGTCGGGTTTAGTCTCAAATGTGATTTGAATTCGCCGCTTCTGGTTACCGGTTTTCCGTTAATCTTAAGGTCTCTATTAGCTGCAAGCCTAAAGCATGAACTCGTAAATTGTGAAGGTTCAATGAGTCATCAAATTAACAACGCGGGCCTCTTGGATATTCTAACAGGTGCTTCCTTAAAAACCTGGTGATATTTGCCAAAACGATAAAATAGGATTCCAATTTTTTTACTGAAAAAAAACTTTACTTTATTTTAAATATACTTTATTTTCCACATTAAACTTCCTGAACTTAAACTTTATATTCAGTGGCTAGTTTGTGAGCACTATTGCAGCAAATTATCAATCAGGTAAATTACCTATATATATATATATATATATATATATATATATATATATATATATATATATATATATATAATATATATATATATATATATATATATATATACAGCCGCTGTCATTAATGTTGTCCAAATCAGGTATATCAATATACCTGTCATGTGACTTATTGGTATGCACCAACTCGAGTGTGCTTGCTATGTAAATGTATCTGCTATTCGTGTGCTTCATACATTTACATAGCAAGCACACTCGAGTTGGTGCATACCAATAAGTCACATGACAGGTATATTGATATACTTGATTTGGACAACATTAATGACAGCCGCTGTATATATATATATATATATATATATATATATATATATATATATATATATATATATATATATTAATATGTACTATATATATATATATATATATATATATATATATTATAATATGTACTATATATTGATATATAATATATCAAGTAATGACTTTAATAGCTATATATATTATATAGTATGTAATATGTACTATATATTGATATATAATATATCAAGTAATGACTTTAATAGCATTAGTATTCTTACGCTTATTAAGCACTCGACATATTTGTCGGCTAACGTGCGTGTGTTTTTATGGCAAAAGCTCTAGTCCTGACAGGTGTCCGAATTGACTAGCGTTTTGCTATAATTGATTTCTTTCAACGTAATATAGAGAAAGTCAGAATATTTTGGTTATATTATCTTTTAAATCAATCTTTGAAAATACTATACAAGGTAACAAGTTTTAGTAAACTAAAGATGTAAAAGGCATTTATGGTGACCGGTTTGATCTACCGTTCTCTCTAAAGTATAACTGTATGAATTAATGATCTAGCTTCTTGTGGCTTGGAATATCAAGATCTTCACAACATTTAGTGAGTATTACAGATATAAGAATTTTCGCTTATCGCCTCCAAGTTTGATTATTAAATGTTGAATTAAAAGCTTATATTTAATGTAGCTCAATTAAAGAACCAAATTAGTAAAAAAGCGTCTTCGGTTGTCAACTAAATTACCGAACTTGTTCAACAATTACTAAAATGAATTACGATTTTTTATCCTATTATAGTCAAACATAGCTAATAAAATATTTTGTGAGAACAAGCTACCACGACGGCTGTAGAAAATTAGGACAAATTAACATTTTACTTCGGCCGAAATTTGCCTATATGGTGTCAATTAATCTTACCTCGTAAGTTTTTTTAAACTGTTAAATGTTAGAATAGTACTTTAACGCCAAAAATATGGCTACTATTAGGTCAGTTATAATTTGCCTCGATTTTAAGTGGATTTCAATTTTTTTGCAGTATTCTTCCTTCGTTTCCAAGCTAAAGTTTTAGAATGATTAAAATAAACTATATTTCTATATATATAACATTTAATGTAGAGCTGATATAAACCTATACCCGCAAAATATTACCCCAGGAACTTACAAGAAACAACCAAAAAAATTCAAATATTCAATAATATTCAATGAAATTATTTGCAGCAACCTGGATACTCCATGACCATGTCTGCGATTTCTGGCCATGGGATAGTTACATGCACAAAAAACATCAGGGGCCGGTTATATAAATCTCTTAACTACATTTTGTGTACCTAAATTGTAGTTAACTCAGAAATGCACGACTTTGATTGGTCAATTTTGCCTCTATACAACTTGCCCCAGCTGGCTCTTTAGGACGACTCTTTTATTGCGAGGAAAATCATTTCACATCATATTTATTTATTTATTTAACTATTTATATATATAAGTAGGTTACCCCCCATACATTGGGAGGAAAACACGCAACGCGTGGACCCCACGCGGGACGTCGGAAACTGAGCACATGCTCGTATCTGCTTATGAGCAGATGTTCATCTGCTCAATGAGATATTTCATACCCACTTGAAATTTTTGTTGATAAAATTAAAATAGCGACGAACTAGCGGCTGGAAAGAGGTAAATTTCAGACATGGATTAACGATTTTAACATTTATTTGTCTTGCAATTAGTTTCAGCAATAAATAATAATTCCTTCTAAAACGTTTTTTTGAGATTTAACTAAATTTAAAGTTTAATTATCATCATCGTCGTAACCTTCAATGTCTTTATTTTCCTCGTCATCTTTAATCTCGTGGTCGCTTAAAAGCCTTTTAATAAGAAACTTTCTCTTATCAACTGCAGCTTCTATTGCTTCTTCTGGGTCAAAATCATCATTTTGAATAAACGCATCTTGTGTGTGCATTATTTTCTTAGGTACTGGATCTTTCTTTAGTTGTCTTATCTACAAAAGGCGCTTTAAATAGATATTTTCTAATTCTTTCTGGAGTCTAGGCATGATATTCACGTAAGCTTTCTCTTTAGCAGAGTGCTCATCGAAACCTCTGTTTATGCATGAGGCGTTCTTTCATTACCTCGAAAGCTGTGTTACTTCTTTTTTTGCCTCTTCTATTAGTGGTATCCAGGGATCCATTTCTTCTCCAGATTCTGAGTCAGTTGCCGTCGAACTTCCAGACTGCTGAGTAGAAGTTGTTGAGACATCGTCACGGAAATCTCTTTCTTGACTGTCCGAGTCTGTTTGAGACATGTTTTTTTCTTGTTCTCGTGATGGACACTATTTCCGTTTGTGTCTACGCTGATTGTAACCGCGATTAAAGTATCTTCCGCAAAATTGGCAGCTCATTCCCGGAACAACCAGCGATGTAGAGTTCTCATCATACAGACTTTCCAAATATCACATATTTTCTAAGTATTTATTTGATTTCTTTGGCCTATTACTCTACATCGTAAAGTTCCTGAATTTTAACAACAACGTGTTTCTTATTTTTTGGTTTGTCACGTGGTCCATGTTTCCACTTAATTTATGCATAAATGTCAATAATAATACTATAATTATATTGTTTTCACGAAACATCCTCCACCCCGATGAGAACATTGTTCTCATATATTTTCCTTTTCTACTGGTTGTATTACTGCGATTTTGGTGATCGGTCTTTGATACGTTCCGTTCTGTGTCTTTACTGTCACATTTCGAACAATCTTATCTTTACCCGGGAGTACTTGAGTTATTCTTCCAATTGTCCAATTTCCTCTTATAGCATTCGAATCCACTAACATAACTATATCGTTAACTTGGACATCTCTTCGTTGAACATCCCATTTCTTTCGAGGAACCAAGCACGGAAAAACATCCCTTATCCAACGTTTCCAGAACGAGTCTGGAATTTGTTGAAGAAACTCTACTCTGTGTCGAGGGTTCTTTGTCTTCAGGAATGGGCCTTGCGGGACATGGGAAGACGCTCTTACTAATCAGAGATCATTTGGACATAGGTATGCGCCGTCATCGGGATCGTTAGTTGGTCTACCGATTGGTCGCTGATTAACAATGTTTGCCACTTCTAACAGGACAGTGTATAATTCGAACGGTGTGAGGAGATTATCTCCATTGCTTGTTTTAGGGCTACTTTGCAACTAGTTATTCGGCACAGCCGTTCTGATGTGGAGCGTTCGGTGTAATGAATTTCCACTCCATTTTCTTATCTGCTGCGTATTCTTTAAGCTTCTTAACATCCCAACCTTGTATCATTCTTTTTAATTCGCTTTCCGCTCCGACTAATTGAGTCCCGTTATCACTTAACATTAATGAGGGATATCCTCTAATCGCGAAGAATCTTCGAAGTACTTGAATTAGTTCCATCGTGGAACAATCTGCAGCCAGCTCGAGATGCACCGCTCTGGTGTTCAAACAAGTGAATAGAACGCCATAGTGTTTCATAGTTTTATTTCTTCCAACTTTAACTTTATATGGACCGAAATAATCACAAGCTGTGTTGTGAAATGCAGGTGTTTGAGGCATCAATCCTAATTTTGGGAGTTCAGCCATCAGCTGTGATTCGATCTTTCTTCGCACTTCCTCTTGATTAATTTTGCAAGTTTCTGCACTCCGATGATCCAAAACATTCTGCGTGTTTTTGTCACTGTCGATGCTACTCCAGTGTGTCCTTGTTGATGCATTTCTGTGTGATGAGATACGATATATGATGATTTTTGGGAAGCAATATCGGGTGTTTCGAATCATACGTCACGATTGCTTTATCTACTCGTCCTCCTACTCGTACGATTCCTTTTTCGTCTGTGAACGGGCTGAGCATATTGAATTCCTTTCTCTTGACCCGTTCCTTTAACTCCTGTTGTGCTATCTTGATTCAATACTCTTCACCTTTTTCCAGTTCATTTGCTGTTAATGGCTCAACTTCGGTTTTGGGCTTTTGCTTAGATCGTAAATTTCGTACGTACCGTAGAATCCACGCCGTTACTCTCACTAATCTCTTCCATTTCGAAAATTTCGTTGCATCGATGATCATTGGTTTGAGGACTAAGGAAAATACTGCTTGGGTCTTTCGTCGTTCTTTATCGATTTCATTTGCATCGATTGTCATTTTTTCTTGCTAAGGCCATTCATCTTCGGGACAATTTAGAAAGTTCGGGCCACTTTTCCAGCGTTATTCTAACTCCTTTGCAGAAATACCTCTAGATAGATCGTCAGCTACGTTATGCTCGCTTGGTATATGTCTCCACATCGATGGCTCACAATTCGTTTGGATTTCCGCTACTCGGCTTGACACAAACGGTTTGAAACTTCTTGATTGACTATGAATCCATGTAAGTACTATCATACTGTCCGCAAAGAAAATAACCTTTTCGAACTGTAAACGACATTCTTCAATTATGGTTTTGTATAAACGACTCGCCAGAACTGCTGCCTGTAGCTCCAACCTCGGTATAGTTAGCTCTTTAGGTGGCGCTACTCTTGATTTAGCCGCTAAGAATCTACTTTCATAACTGCCACTTGACTTTTCCCATGGCAGATACGAACAAGTTTCAAATGCGTCTCAAGAAGCGTCCGCGAATATGCATAGTATCGGTAAGCCAATGAAATTCAGTGGCGTTAAGCTTCGTTGGAAAGATACATTGTTCAGTTCTTTAACCTCATTGAAAAACTCTGTCCACCAATTTGATATTTCAGAGGGAAGTTCTTCGTCCCAATCAAATCCAAGTTGCCAAAGCCTTTGCAAACCGATTTTCGCACGGATTAAGAACGCCGCCGCGATGCCGATTGGGTCAAATACACGAGCTACTTTACTTAGGATCTTTCTTTTTGTTAACTTCGACTCGCGTGGTTCTGTTACATATGCATTGAGATCATCTGCCACTTTAAACGTGATAATATCCTCTTTATTGCTCCAAACTGTTCCTAAGATCTTTTCTTTTGTTTCCCCTTCCAAGCATTTGATATTCGGACTTTCTTTGACTGTTTCGTTTTCGTTTATGGTCTTGTTTGATAACCATTCTTTTACTTTAAATCCTCCTTTCTGTAAGATTTCGTCAAGCTCTTTTGTTAGCTGCTGTGCCCGTTCGATGGTGGATACCGAATCACAGATATCGTCCATGTATGTATTATTCTTCAGCACTTCAGAAGCATATGGATGCGAATTTTCTGCCTTTTCAGCTGTTTTTCTGAGCGCAATCTGCGCCATCGCTGGCGCTGGCTTGTCGCCAAAGGTTAACACAGTTTTTACATAAGTGTCAGGTGGTCTTGTCGTATCCATATCTCTCCATACGAATCGATGTACGTGCTGATCCTCCTCTGGAATTCCAATCCGATATACATCTTCGATATATCTCCGCTAACAGCAACTGGTTGCTCTCGAAATCTAAGGATTACTCCAAACAGATTGTTCAGGAGATCGGGGCCCTTTACCCAGCAATCATTGAGACATTGTCCTTTGTATTTCGATGACGAATTGAATACGATTCTAACAGGTGTACTCTTTTTATCAGGTCGAACGACTTCGTGATGTGCGATGTAGTGGAGTGGACCGTTATATTCCTTTATTTCTTGTTCTGTTAACTTTCGTGAAAAACCAAGTGATTCCATTTGTTCCATCTGTTCTTGATATGCTTTTGCTTGTTCCGGGTTCTGCTTCAGCCGTCTTTCCCTTGCTTCCATTCTTTTAACTGCTTGTTCTCGATTGTCAGGAAGTGTTTTTGGATCGGTACTCCATGGGTAGGCCATTTGCCACCGATTTCCAATCAATTTACATCCCTTTTCTATCAGTTTGGCTTCTTGTTCGATTTTGCTTAGCTTTGTCATTTCAATTTTTGGTTGACTAACACCCATTGATTTACTTTTCCAAAAGTCCGTTAGATCTACAGGTTTGGCATACTGAACGTGAAATACTCTATTTGTTTCCTGTAATCCTGGTGTTGCTCCAAAAACGATCCAACCGAGAGGCGAATGTCTCGCTACAATGTTTATACCAATTTTCTTTGAATCTCCCGAGTGCATGTAAGCGTGATCAATTCCAATAAGCATCTCAATTGGTCCACATTCTCTGTACATCGTTGAAATACCAATCTGTGCCTTCAAGTTATGAATATCGATCCTTGAGACATCACTGCTAATATGTGGAATCCCAACTGCCTTGACCGTAAATTTTGCACCTGTTTCCAGCGAAGTTATGGGAACTTGATACACTTTCGTCTCGAGCACTTCTTCATCCCCTTGGACTTTTGTGATCGTTATTGAAACATCTTTTCCCTTTAGATTCAGACTTTCTGCAGTGGTTGTACAGATAAGGCTCGTTTGTGCTCCTGTGTCCAGTAAGATGTTACTATTCTTGTGCTGGTTATTCTTGCCAGATAGCTTCACAGTGATGACTGGTAGTATTGCTTCAGCATTACTTCCTAGTGTTGCAAGACCCACTGATGCTCGAGGATCCGCAGAATGCAAAAGAACATGGTGATAGTATTTACATTGCACGTCATTAACCTTTTGTTCACATTGCTTTCTTCGGCTGCAGTTCGATGCTTTGTGGTCGCGTCCAGCCCTTTTAAGACAACTGAAGCAGGCATGATTTTCCTTCACTGCTTTTAGGCGCTCTTCTGGTTTCATAGCATTAAACCTTGGGCACTGGTCTATCCAATGACTTGAATTGTCGCAAACCCAACATTTCGGTTGTCTTACTCCTGAGAAGTGATTTACAAATCTCGAGCCATGGCTTGGGTTTCGTAGTGGAGCTGATACACGCATCCTTGACTTCATTTCTGTTTCCATCCACGACATAAGACCTTGTAGACTTGCTGGTTTCTGTTCCCTCTCCAATTCTCGTGCTCAAACCTTTCTATCTTCTACACACATTTTTTGTTCTATCAATGACAACATGTGGTTGTTATCCATGTCGTAAGGTCTATTTACTCCTTTCATAGTGTTGTAGCTGCGTTTCACCAGATGTACCAGATCACAGAATCTTGAGTCTTCTTCCTCTTTCAATGGGCGGAACTTTGCTAGATCTTGAGTTATTTGGTCTGATACAAATCTCGGGTCCCATATATTGTGTATTGCCATGCACCATCATAGTCTGAACCTATCCCTTTAATTAGTTCGAGGGGTTTTCCTTGTAGACATGCCCTTAGGTACGTCATGTTAGCATGTTGGATATTCCCATTTGGATTTTCCTGTTCTTCATCCTGTGGCTGCGGTTGTTGATTTTGACTAAGTCCCTGGTTAGCATCGTCTGCTGTTGTTTCCTCTCCCGATTCACCAGTATTTACTACACCTTCATTTGTTGTGACAGTTACTTCTGGGTTGGTTTCATTTTCATTAACAGTCGTATTAACAACATGTTCCATAAACTGACCTGTTAGCTTTTCCTTCAGATAATCCTTCGTTCTTACTTTTAACTGCATAAACCTCTCCTGACATTTGTTAATCCAGTGTTCCTCTGTTTCAAATTCCTCATCGCCATCTACTAATTGTATATAATCGTCATGTTTTTCAATTAATTTCTTGAATACATCCTCATAGTTATTTAGTGCTTCCTCTACTTCTGCTGTCGGCCGGTCGCTTCTTACTAAGTAATCTAGTCCATTTCCTACTCTGGTAAGACTCGATTTTGCACATCGTCGTGTCCTTTTCGCTTCGTTTAACTGGTTTAACGCTTCGGTTGCCGCTTCCGCCATTTTCGGAATTCTGTTAAGCCCCGGTAAGCAAGAAATCAAATTTGTGGCTCGCCAGAATTGAACAACCAGCGATGTAGAGTTCTCATCATACAGACTTTCCAAATATCACATATTTTCTAAGTATTTATTTGATTTCTTTGGCCTATTACTCTACATCGTAAAGCTCCTGAATTTTAACAACAACGTGTTTCTTAATTCTTATTTTTTTGTGTGTCACGTGGTCCATGTTTCCACTTAATTTATGCATAAATGTCAATAATAATACTATATATATTGTTTTCACGAAACTATATATACTATGTAATTATATTGTATGGATTATAAAAACCGGGAAATCAGAATAGCGTTCATTTTATACAGTTTATACAGTAAATTTACCAAAAAGGTTTTAAATTTCCTCTTATGAACGGTTTAATAGCGTTTCCGGTCAGCTAACCGATAACTATACTTGCTACAAAATAAAGAGACAAATATATAAATTTAAAATGGTTTCTATATGCCTATCTATATCTGCTTGTTGAGTGAGAATCCCAATAGTTCGAACCAAGACCACGCCTTGAGTCCCGAAAATAACAAAGATTTTGTAATTCTTGACAGCCCAGTTGCTATCAATAAACAAGTTGAAAACGTCAAGTTAACATATGCCAAAGCTGCCGAGTTTAAACTGGTTCTAAATTATATAAATGGAAATGGATATTACCACTAGTTCGGCATAACAACAGTAGGATTAGTTCTGATGGCTTTGTAGGAGCAGAGCGTAGGCGAAACCAAACAAAGAGAATATTCCTATCTGGAATTGCAAGCAGTGTGAATGAAAAACATATTCGATCCTACCTTGAGCCGCGAAATATAAATACAACATTTATTTCGGTCTTTCCCAGTAAACGCAAAGGAACGGTATCGGCTGAGGTAGATATCTCCTCTGTTGATTTCCCTCTCATACAGCATGATGATTTCTAGCCTAAATTTGTGACTTACGAATTATGGAAATCTAAAGAGGTATTACAAATTACAACAAAGCAGAAACCGCAGACCAAAAGCAAACCACCCAAGATGAAAACACTCCAACTTCTCAATAATGGCTCAAATTCCGGTTAGAATTCCCCTCGCAATCGCGTAAATAAACGAAACAGACGCTGTCCTGGTAACCTAACCAGGGTAAATATTTCGAAACCTGGACCTACTACATGTATGTTTGTACCGGGTCTCGTTTTATATATGTCATGTCATTAACACCTAAAATAGATCCGTCCATTTGTCACTAACTCTGGAGCGGAAGTTGCCGTCTTCACTGAAGCATGGCTCAGAAGTTCCATACCAAATTTTATCGTGGATATTCCGGGATATAGAATAATTCGAAAAGATAGACAAGAAAGAATACATGGAGGAGTCTGTGTATATGTTAAGAATGAAATGAAAGTCTCTGTTTTGCATGATTTGGAGAATCCACAATTCGAAGTGCTTTGGGTACAGTAGTACCTGGGAGATTACCACGTGGTCTATCTTCAATTGTCGTAGGAGCGCTATATCATCCCCCAGCATCAGACGATAAATCTATTCTGAAGTATATTGCTGATAGTCTGATTAGCATTGTATAAGAACTGTGGAACTATTATTATGGGTGATTTGAAAATCACAAATATATCGAGACAGCTAGTTAAAGTTAAAACAACTAGTAAGCTTTGCTACTAGGGGACCAAGAACCCTAGATATTAAAGAGAAAAATCAGTTAAAGAGAAAAATCCACAACAACGATGCTCCCTGGATGTCGGATAAACTTAAACGAGCAATCAAGAACCGTCAACGGGCCTTTAAAGACGGAAATATAAGGTGCTTCAATTACTACCGCAATTTAGTAAATTCCGTAGGGAAAAGATGCAGATCCTCCTATTATAACAACAAGATCAGGAATCTTAAACATCTTGTCCACCCAACAAGTAGACGAGTTAGAACCCTTGACCAACACCCAAATCGCCAACAAAATCAATAACAGTTTTCTCGAACCTCTCCAAGAATTTCAGCCCCTGAGGTGTATGGACCAAACTGTTGACGCAACCTCAAAAGTTATTACGGTCACTGATCTTAAAGTGTACAGATGCCTAAAATCTCTTAATCCCTTTAAAGCAAGTGGTCCCGATGACATTCCTGCTTCGCTGATTAAAGAAAACGCGGTTCTTTTGGCGTTACCTGTCACAAATACTGAACTGCTCATTTAAAGAGAACAAACTTTCAATGATTTGGAAAATAGCTAACGTAGTCCCAATTCCAAAATCGTGAGTAAAGCAGTTGAAACCAGTAATTCTCAAAATTATATATCCCAACCAATTCGGGATGATCCCTGGCTCTTCAACAAGCCAATCTTTAATAAAAATGATCGACCGCTGGATGGAAGCAACAGATGGGTCAGGAGCTTTGGTCAGAGTCGTATTATTTGATTATCAAAAGGCGTTTAAAGTGCCTATATCACTCGTGGAATTTTTATGCATTTGAAAAGAATGTAAAAAGTTAGTTAATATATTAAAAACGTTTTTTGATTTAGTGCAATAATTTTGAAGATACAAGCCTTTGAACTACCTGCAGTTCCTGAGTCCCAGGCTCCTGTAAACAATGGGCAGTTTCAAATTAAATAGCCGTGTTTAAACGCAGGAGGTTGGGACTCAGGAACCGTAGTTTATGGGCTTTTATCTTTGAAATTATTGCACTAAATCAAAAAGCGTTTTTTAACATATCAACTAACTTTTTACGTTCTTTTCAAATCCATAAAGATCCCACGAATGATATAGGCACTTTAACCTTGTTGACCATACCATTATCCTGGATAGATTGAAATCCCTAGACATAACGAACTCTGCAATTAATTGGATAGCAGATTTCATAGCAGATTTCCTGACTAACAGACAACGAGTTAAATTTGGAGTCAATTGAAGTCATTGGAGACAAGTTGTACATGAGGCGAAATTACTTGGTCTTACCATCACACCAACCTTGAAGTAAAATAAACACGTCAATAACATTTCAAAATCCTCCAAACGGATATATTTTCATATATATTTATTCAATTAAAGTGTGCAAGAGTACATGATAAGGACATCCTACAATTCTATTCCACTTGTATTCGCCCTATTTTGGAATACGCATCGAAAGTGTTTCATTATGCACTACCGAAATATCTTAGTGAAATCGAACGTGTCCAAAAAAGAGCTCTTCGAATTTTTTACCTGTCCGCACATTATAAGAATGGATTGATCGAAAGTGGTTTGAAAACATTATACACACGAAGGGAATCTGCATGTAAGAAACCTTTGAACCAGATCTTAGCCGATCCAAGCCAGAAATTGAACCATTTGATGTGTAGATCAGAACCTCCATTAACGTACGAGTTGCGTACGGAGAAACATTTTTATATTCCTAAATTTTTCACCGACCGTTTCAAAAACTCTTATTGTTAGTAGTTGCCTAAATAAATAAATAATTTAAATTTCTAATCTATCTATATACTATATTGTAAATTTTATGACTATATATGATATTGTAACTTTTTATAATCTATATACTATATTGTAATTTTTTGCTGCCATATTAGCACCTGTAATCACCACGTTATTCAGTCCTTGTAACTGCAATGTGTGTGAATTATTAAACCAGCTATCTATCTATCTGTGACTAGATTTCGAGCTTTATAGATTATTTCAAATTTTTACTCTATGAAGCTCAAGATCTAGTCACAGAAACCTCGTCAAAATTGTATATCAGTCTCTTTATTTTGTACTGAGTATAGCTGTCAATTGGGAAAACACACTAACAGCACCGTATTTGTATACTAAGTACAAGTTCCCCAGCTTATTACCAACTTAGAACAATTGTGTTATCACTGATTTATATAAGGTAGTTCTTTCTTAATCAACGAAGGTGAAAATAATTTAGGTGGACTTTGAAAATCAAGCTCTTAAGCCCCGTTTACACTACACTCGATTTAATGCACGGCACGGCTAAAATGGGTACCCGTGCCCGTTTTATCTATGCTCGGCCTTTGTTTTGGTAGCCTGAACACTAATAAAATTGGGTACGGATACCATTTTAGCGTGCGTGCCGAAAATTGACTGTAGTGTAAACGGGGCTTTATTCGTGCAGAAATACCGCAAAGGAAACGCTAGTGATTGAGATCTCGCATCAATGAGTTTGAGTGAACTTTCAGAATACAGGCATAACTCCCCTGGCCATATACACGGGCGGTCAAAAAGAACTGCTCAAATGTTGCTATTATCGTATGTAACAGGAATCGTATCAATCAATCTTTTATTGTACACTAGCGGTCAAAAAGAACTGTTCAGATACAGATTCATAAAAAAGAAGCGAATGAAGGAGAGAGCTTCATAGGCATTTTGGATAATTCTCTTATTCCAAACAATATTTCAATTATGTCATGCAACCTGCCACACTTCCAGGATACACTCAGGAGTGACAGAAATGGATTGGACAGAAATGGATTGCACAGTCAAAAGGCCTTAACCCTATTGAACATCTGTGGGACAATGTGAAAGGGATAGTGCAAGAAAGGAATTAATTTATAAAGCGTCCATGATTTATGCGTTGCTGTAAAGACTGTCCATAGGATGAATTTCTTTTGACCATTAAGATTACCACCTTAACAGAAAGTATATGCCACGCCGATGTAAGGCCGTCATCAATTATAATGCCAAAGGAGGGTCAACAAAATATTGATATTTCATATAGCTTAGCATGTAATCTAGTCTATATTTACTCGTATATATTGTTAGAGGGACAGTTACGTTCATTTGAGAGCATTTTAACTTGTTTTGAGCTAGTTCTTTTTGACCGCCAGTGTATATAGGTCGAAGCGTCGAGAAGTCTTTTTGTACATTTTAGGCAGTTGTTATACCACACGCTATGGGTTTTTTAGAAAACACAGATATATTTCGAATATGTATAGGTGTAAAGGTTATCTGCTATGAAATAGCAAAATATTATATTTTCTAAATTTATAGTACAAGAGCTGGTGAAAGATGTATTTCTCAAGTTGTCTTTTTCTCGTGTTGTGGGTGCAAAATAGTTGGAAAGGTGAGAACGCTCGTTACAAAGTTATCACATTTTCACCATGTGGTTAAATTTACTTGTTTCAATAATTTCTATATATATGAACGTCGTAAATACTGTTTGTACATATATTTTGGTACCCTGTTAATGGAGCATTGCGCTCCGTAGGGATTATCGCGGCAAACGTTTCACGAAGTTTGTAAATTAATGAGAACAAAACATTACAAACATGATATATTCGTTTGTTAAATATTTATACTTACTCGACAAGACTCTAATTTCAATCTTTCAAACACCAAGTACAGAGAATATTGTTTATTTCGGACAGTCTTGCTTCCTGCATGTGCTGTGAAAAATAATTAACATTAAATTAATTTCAATTAAAATATATAGATAACTGTATTTATATGTATTTTGTTACCTTTTAAGGTCTATTTCTAAAACGTAAGCAATCTTTTTTCCTTTTCAGCAAGCTCGAACCCTCTTGTCAAATCGCCTTTCTTTATTAAGTCTAAGGATGATAAAACCCAACCTAGTCTCCTCAAACCGTGGCGTGAAGCTACAAAGAATATTCCCAGAATGTATATGAGTGCACAAAGGTTTCCACGTGGTCGTGATTTTAATTTGGCACATAGAAAAGGAAAACTAGGTACCAATAAATTAAAACAAGAGAAAACTATCTCATCAAGAAATATTATAGGTTTTCCGATTTCGCAAAATAAACACAATACCAGAACAAAAGCGGCACTATCTCCATGGAGTCAAACAGACCTTAATGGCGTACAGACAAGAGATCTTAAAGAACAAATAATGCGAAATGCTGAGGAATACTGGTGGAAATCTGGTTTCATTGAAGGATTGAACAGGAAACTTGGTGAAACTGTGAGAAAAGCACCCTTTTCGCAAGCCAAGTCACCTAAAGCGATTCAAGTGGCAAATTATCAACACCTTGATTTAAATGGAGATGATAAAGGGCGAGTGCGTGGCGGGAAAATGTCGTCAACAGTCACGAGAGGCCCTGCGGTGAACCAAGGCAATAATAGTGTGTCGTTAAATCAAACAATGTATGAAGGAAAACCACGGGGTATCCAAGAAGCACAGATTAGAAGGTCAGAAAGCAAAACTGATAGTAACATCAAAGAAACGCAGATGAATGTGTATGCAGGTAGTCGAGTAGATATGAATCGAGAACGTGCAGAAAAAGTGGAAAGAGGAAGGAAGCAGTATACAAGAGTAACTCAGGACAATAACATAAGACACCCGGGGACTTTTGAGAATAAAGAAGTAGAACAGGAAAGAACGTTACACAAGCAGAATATGGGGCAAGCAAAAGTGACGAATAGTCCAATTTGGGCAGGCGGAAATGGGATAGGAACATTACGGGGGGGAGTAGGACAAACAGGAAAAATACAGGAATCGAGCATTTGGCACCCAGTAACATCGGAGGTTGCAATATCAGGAGGGACAAACAGTGAACCGTTGAGGTCGTTTAAAGGTTCTATCCTAGAACAAACGAAGACAAGGAATAGTCAGCCGGGTCCGGTAGATATAACACATGGTATAAACACAGGACAACCCATGGATTCAATTCCAGGGAAAACAAGGACAATGGATGGTGTGACTGGTACATCAGAAGAACAAACGGGTGAAACGGTCGGACAATCCGGACAATCAGGGACTACAAAAGGACAAGGGGGGTCTTTGGAGACATTTCAAAACGAAGCCGCGCAGGAAGAAAATACTGAGATTTCAAATTCATCACCCGGTAAGTACAAACACTGCAATGTCATGTGTATAATGGTCAAGTTTATTTATCTTCGATTCACTTTCCAAAAAATGCCTAAATTTACCTTTTTACGAAGTATCGTGAAAACGGTGAAAAGTCCTGTTATTCGGCAGTTAGGTGTTCTATCAACTTAATTATCAAACATATGTAATTATATATTTAATCTAACTAATGCAAAATATTTAATATGTGTAAACATATGTAATATAATATATTTAATCTAGCTAATGCAGCCCTAACGACTGCCCAATATTCTTCAACACATTTTGTGCTTACATAAATATTTTCGCATATAATTGATCTAGAGGACGACAAAAATGTCCATGGTTGCAACGGTTTTAAGTTTTATAATTATTTTCATTCAATGCATTCTAGACCATAGCCATTATCTATGTTTGAAATGCAACTTAGCCGTTGGCTTGAAGTTTGTTACTAATTACTACTTCAGGTAATGGTTACAGAAGGGATGAAAAACTAGTGTTTAAATACGACTTTCGAATTAAAATTTTAATAACCAGCCGGTTTAAACATCGTCATTGCAGATTGCTTTGAACCGGTAGATCTTGCCTTCCTCGTGGACGGTTCGGGAAGTATCGATCCCATTCGACAGTTTCCAAAAGTTCGAACGTTTCTAAAGGAACTTGCATCTGGATTTCAAATTGGCCCCGCAAAAACAAAAGTTGGCATGGTTCAATTCTCCGGGAGAATGTCGCAGAAGGTTGAATTTGGTCTAGATCAAAATAGTGATCTTGAAGGAGTTCTTAAAGGAATTGACAGCATGGAGCAGTTAAGGTATGACTATGAGAGATTTGAACACAAAAAAGGGCACTATTACGTGCTAGGGATTAGGTATGGGAGTAAATTTCTCTATTTAAGTTAAGGGATTTTTCACAGAAGCACGGAATATTAGATAGGAAGATACGGAATCTTAATATCGTGATATTCTGATCCTGCCAAGTGCCAAAACATAATGTTGTTTTCCTGCTAGACTCAGAAATACTTTTTTTGTATTGCCTTTTTGTTTAAATTTAGTTATATTGTGGCCTTAATAAGATTTTTAACTAAAAAAGCCTATAAAAAGGGATTTTAAAGTTCTCAGTATTTTCAAAAAACTATCACTCAAAATTATCGAGTGAAAGATCCGAATCACGTCGTAACGATTGCGTGCAGTATTTTCGCTCAAATAAGACCTTCATCAGTTTCACTGTTATGCCTTCAATCTTTCCGTTTCTCACATTGAAAATTATTAACAGAATTTCTGTGTCACACTTAATCAGTAGGAGTTTGTGACTGTGAGTGATTTAAGCTTTTTTAGTACAAGCGTATATTTATTCAGTCAAGAATTGAACGGAAAGAAAATCAATTTGTGGCTCGAAGATTTTTTGACAGTCATTTCTTCCTCGATCATTTCCTACACAAACTATTCATGGCGAAAGTGAGCAGTATTTTTTAAGAGTAATCAATTATATGCCAGTTAAGTACTTTTTCATGGCATGCTAAGGAATAGAGGTTGCAAGTGCAGCCTATAACTCCTACTTTTACCAAAAGATGAAACGTACAGACAAACCTTATTTTCTTCCTTCATTTCATTGCTGCCTATGTGTAGGGGTAACACATATGTCGGTGAAGGCTTCAAAGTTGTCTCGAGAGAAATATTTTCACCCGAGAAAGGTGACAGACCGGAAGTACGTAATGTATTAATGCTCTTTACCGATGGAGCGGCCAGTGACTTCGAAGTTGCCAAAGAAGAAGCAAAAAACTGAAAGCGAACGGTCAGTATTGCCTTTTTTTCTACCAATAGGCTGAGGGTATAATTAGTGCAGGAAGGTACGCCGATAAAAAAATCAGGGAAGACATTGTAATGGATGAATATATCGCCTGTTTACACGACCGTCATTCTGGGCTGGAAAAACATAATTGTTGGCCTCTCTCAACTGCAAGGTCATCCTTATATATAGGTTTGGGTTCGGCACACACGAAATGTGAACGACATTACTTGAAAATTTGAAAAATGATCATTCATAATATATATAAGATTACTAACCTTCCAATTTCGTGATGATGCCAGACGAAATACGAAACGCTCGCCTTCTTCGAAATAAATAAATAAATATAGTGCTTGCTAAGTTGTAGCTAAAATATTAAATATAAGGTATCTAGAGGGCGTTTCAGTGAAATTTGCCCTTTTTAAATCCAAATAACATAATTCCTAAACTAAATTGAGGAATTTGGTATTGAGGCCTAGAGGCCGGTTGTACGAAAGGCGGTTAAGTAGCTACATGGCGTTTAGCTTCTATTCACCATATAAATTTCTTATCAACTGTAGAAAACGCTGCAGAATTGTGTTACATAAATTGTGCATATGATTTTTTTATACAGTCCACAAACTTACAAAGTGTATTTTATTACTTCCAAAGAACTCAAAGGATGAATCACGTCAATAACAGACCTTGGGTTTTACCCAATACCCTGATTTATATATATCATTCAGCTGTCATCCAACTGATTTTTAACAAGAAATCAGAATCTTTTAAAAAATTAAGTTAATTTTGCTAAGAGGTTTCTTCTTTATAATTTAAATAGGCATGGGAATACATTTTTCTTACGACTCATTGGTATTGCTAAACGTTTACAAATTAAATGGGAATATTTCATTCAAGGAATAAGAGCATGATCAAGTTTGATTACCTTTTTTTACCATAGTCCCTGTATACTTGGGTTAAAACTGAAATAGGCGGCTTGAAATTTCGGTTCTCCATAAGAACGTATACATGATTTTTTATTTAGTAGATAATTGCATTTAGATTTATTTAATGTTCACTGATTTACTGACAAAATTAATCTGTAACAGTCAATAAGTGCGACGAGTGAACATTTTGAATACAGGCGAGAGTGTTTTAAGAAAAATATATCCGTTATGTAGAAAATATCATAAATATCCTACGCCGCGAGATTATAGCTAAAACGTTATCAAACCAAAGCATAGATGAAAGTTGTTTAAGATGCTAGCTTTTTTTTAATCGCACAGGAGTCGGCGAAGTTCCAAAAAACTGCCCTGCGCAAAACAGATGCGTATCCAAAACAAAATTTCATCGCATGCACTATATTATTCTGTTAAAACTACTGATCAAAATTTTGAAGAAATTTCATGCACGCGCTGGCCAACCTTGGGACTTAAATAGTTATGTACCGTTTTTGTAAGTCGAACTTGGTTTATTTTCTCCGATGTTTGCACAAATTACAGAAATAAATTTGCAATCGGCTATATTTCTAAGAGTTCAGCGATCGTCGGGATGCTCTTCGATTACTTTTGATAATCCATTTTGATTATATCTATATGCTCTTTGAGGAAATAACTGAATAAATTTTTGAAACCTTGGATGGCATAGAGCTATAATTAATTCTACAAAGAAACATGTTCCACCAAAGTGTTAGAAAAACCAGGGGCCGGTTGTTCAAAAGCAGTTTAAATTTAACCCTGGGTTAGTGCTAAACCTGGGTTAAAATCCTTAACTATAGGTTAGCTAACCCTGGGTTAAAACTGTGTTGTTCAAAGCAGAGTTAGCGGTAGGGTTAGTTAACCCAGGGTTGAAATATTTAACGTAAGATTAAATGTATTTTAAGGACTAAATTGGATATAAGAACGTTTTCGATTGGTCAAATAAAGAGCGTCAAAACTTTACCAGGATATAATTATTGTCAGTCGAAAGATTATATGCCGTGAGGGCAGGGTCGCAGGGACGTTGTTTTGAACAGCAATTTCCGTGCATGGAATTTTGGAAAGATTCGAAATGAAAGGCCATGCATTTTGTATGATAAACAATGTCGATGTGAAATAAAATTAAGCAAATTATAAAGAATCTATTTTAAAATTTCAGCCATTCTTTGATTATTCAAAATTCAGGAACAAACGTAGTTTTACCACTTGCTGCCAATCAAAAGAACCGAAACAAATATTTCGATTACGATGTTTCAACGGTTGTATTCATTTATCGTGTATTGAACTGAAGCGAAGATAAATAAATCAATACGTACATCAGCTGAAACCGAACGAAGTCAAACTTAAATAATTCTTTACTGTCGAAATGATTCGTAAAACCTTTCAAAAGTGTTTAATTCATGACGAATTATACGTGTTTTACGTGTTTCAGCTCCTTATTCATCCATTTTGAATCGAAGTTAACCCAGGAATAAAAAGTTAACTCACCTAGCTAGCAGGGTTAATTTTTTTATCAATTTTAACCCAGGGTTAACGCTAACCGAGCTTAGTGCAACGCAAATCAACCAAGGCTTAAAATTTTATTCTGCACTTTCTTTCTACACAGGGACCACCATAATCTGTGTTGGAGCTGGTCGAGAATTAATGTTACAATTCTTCCGTTCCCAACTTCAAGAGTTCGCCAGCGACCCGCCAGAACAATACGTCCTTACAGAGGGATTTGAAGCACTGGACAAAGTTGTGAAAGCTGTTTCCTCTATAACATGCGAAGGTAGGTCACTTTGTCTTTTGGTAAAAGAATATCCGATAAAGTTAAATTGGAACTGATTACGATACAAAACGCTGAAAGATAACATCAAACATGAACAACAGTAAAATAGGAAATACCTGGAATCCTCTAAAATGGGTTTTTTTCTTCAGAAAAAGCTATATACATATATGGCCTTTTTAAAAAGTTGGGTGTTTCACAATATAGTTATATAATTCGACTATTCGAGAATAGCCATATAAAAACACAACATAACTACTTCTCAAATAAAACTAAAATTATCCCACTCACTCTCACACTATGCATAACAAACAATACAAGTTTTGCACTTATGGATGATTCCGTTTATCATCGTCTATGAAAAGATGTATGTTCATGTTAATATTATCACTTTTTCTCTCTTCTTTTTTCCTTCTCGGACATGTAATTAAAGCTAACAGCAACTAACATACAGAAAAAACTTCCTTTATACAGAGGCAAAGAACCCCCCAGAACCAAAGACAAACGGAAACACTTCAATTGACGGTATGAGTCAAGTTTGACGGTCTCAAAATCCGTCCCAAATATTCACTATATCACCACAAAACTATATCACCACGAAAAATCTGTTAAAGTCGTTAATCTAACCAGACTTTTTACATTCATATTTCATGCAGCCAATTTAAACAGCTACAAAACAGCAAATCATTACTGGGCGTTTGACGTGGCGAAAGGCGATATTGTGACGGATCTTATTGGCAGAAAGCGTTGTACACTAACAGGTCCTCATAATGATTTTTAAAAAATGTTGTGTCTAAATTGTTTGAAAAAACGTATAAATCTATCGAAGGAAACAGGTCATAGATTATCATCGATCTGCTTTTTAAGGATTTACTTATTCAAGCAAAAGCCTTTATGTCATCGTCTGTGTAAGATTGATAGTAAGAATGTGACGTATACGATATCTTCCGAGGACGAAAAAATTTGTGATCGGATGTGTTTCCATTCAATAGGAAAAGTATATGAATATATTGTTCCATTTTTCACTTGTCGAACTTTAGAAAAAGCAATTGCTTGTAGCTGAAGCACTGCAACAATTTCGTTGTGCGTTTGTCGTTTTCTTTAAATATTTTGTCTTCAAAAACGCTAAAATATCTTCAAAAGTTGACATCATTTTGTGCTTTGTTATACGACAGTTTGGGCAATATTCTTGCATATCTTTCTTGCATCATAAAACTGACAAAATTGCAAGTCCTTATATATATGCACTCCTCGAGTGCCAATTTTTCAAATATTTTAGCTAAAAGTAATAATTCGATTCGTCTGCCATTTTGGAATATTGAGGAAGCGTGTTGGCCTCAAGAGTGCATGAGGTCACGAGATTTATTTATATGTTAGCGATTTAGTACTTACAGTTTATCTGCAAATTAGTAGAGTTAATTACTTGTAATAGTTCAATAGTGTCAAAATTTTAGGCGGATCTCATCTCTTTATGTCTGTCAAACGAAAAAAGGTTGCCTCAATGGTTGAATCAGGTGGTTACCTCGATTTTGGAAGTTGGGGGGGGAGTGTATCACCGACCCTGATCTTTGTGTAGATGGACTAACCGTCACAATGTGGTTACGTATACAAGCAAAAGATGTCAACTATAATAGCGAATATCAGTACATTATATCATCTGGGGCCGAGGGTGAATCTATGAGAGGGATCGTGTTTTTGCTGAAGGTAAGATGAATTATTTTCGACTAAAAAGACCCCGAGTAGCTATTAATCAGTGTCAATCCGTCTGTAAACCCGCCCGACTACATGGTAACCAAGCGTACTGATTGTCCACTCTATGTTTCCAAGGGTGCGCGCTCGCTCACAGCAGAATACTTAAATGCTGCCTAATAGACGACTTGCGCTTTAGACTAATTTTTCATCGAAGTAAAAAGAAGAAAATACCGTCACAGCTAGAAGGAACGTACTTGATTCGTGCAAATGTAAAGTTTGGCTGTGAAATTTGATAAAATACGGAAAATATAGCCATGCGAAGTTGGCATATTTTGTATACTTTTGTATTACGCGCGGAAATGTGTAACTAATTTAGTTACAAACTTCCGGCCGTAATGCGAAATTATACAAAATCGACAACTTCGCATGACTATATTTTCCGTAATTCACAACAATTCGCACCCAAACTTGGCAGTTTTACTAATTTTAATAAGCTTTTCAGAAAATTTCCTTTTTATCCCAGGAAATTAGTCTAAAGCCGGTTTTCCACAAGCGGTATTTTTCGAGCGAATCGACATTTTACTTTTGTTTCAGAGCTCTCAACTGCAACCATCTGGAACCAATTGCTCAAATACAAAGGAATAAAGTCGCTTCGCGCGAAAAATATCGCTAGTGGAAAACCGGCTTAAAGCGCAAGTCGTCCATTGTAGCTACTTCATTTCCTTCGTTTTTTATCTTTGCAAACCTAGATATGGTTCTCTAGTAGCAGCTTTCCGTTTTCTTCGCAAAACCCGAACACTAGCTGTTGACCCGCGGGTTATATCGAATGTTTACTTTTTTAAGGCAAAAGATGAAATTTATAAGCTGTTAGTCCGCACAACCGCTCAAGCATGGTCAATTACATTGCCGGCTGACCGTATACCAAGCGTATGGTTCAGTTTTGCATTCTCATGGAAAAGAACACTTGGGCTTGCTGTTTATCTCAATGGTTTTAAGGTGGGATTAATTTTTTGGGGCATTTTTGATAAAGTTAACCGTTGCAATTACAGTTAACTATAATAGCCCAGTCGCAATTGTTGGTAGAAGGGTTGGAATTAACTGCAACTTCTTCTGATAAATTCGTAAATAACCAGGCCGTATATAGTAGCCTAAGTACTGACATACATGTGTAAGTATCTAAGTTCGGATGGAAGAGCCTCGACAATAGCATAAAATTTCCATTTTCCACAAACTTTAAACTTTCCAAGAATTTGTTTTTACATTTGATAAGCTCAACTTTAATTCATACCAACTATTCCAACGAAGACCATTAGGATTTTTGTCGCCTGCATGAATATAGATTTTCAAAGTTCACTTTGCCTACACAGGGAATCGGGCAAGCTTTTCCTGTCAAAGAACAAAGACGCTTACCCTTACTGTTACGGACGTCCTAATCGTTTGTACTTTCGTCCCAACAGGTAGAGGAAAATTTAAAGCCGACAAACGTGGAAGGGCCAGATGTATCGAACTCTTTATTCGTTGCTAGACCTGCAACAAGTACAAGTCTGGAGTATCAGACGAAATTCCGTATTGATGATTTCGCCATATTTTATCGCTATATGACCGACCAAGAAGTTCAAGGCGTTTTGTTTGAAGGTATAGTGCATTGAAGGTTTTATTTTGGATGAATAAGCACTTCTAAAGCAGTTTGAGGGCATGCTCCCTCGGGACGTGTTTTAAAAATACCAGAACATATAATCTAGGGGAGGGGATAGCTTGTTGCCGTCTTTTTAGTGCCCCTGGACCCTTGCGTCTGGGGTCGAGACCGTAGGCCGAGTGCAATATTGAAATTTCGAGTACATTGTAAGGTCAGCAAGTGCGTTTATTTGTAAACAAAACACGAACATAAAGTCTTTAACACGTTTAATATACAATCTGAGTTCATTGATTGCTGCATTGAAGATCAAAGCTTCGCTGCAGGCTATCATTTTTAAATAAATCATGACTCTTATGTGTTATTACGAATAAACCATGACTTCATGGGTTATTGTGAATAATTATGATTCCCATGATCTCTCGCCAGGCAACTAGAAACCATGTGATTGATTTTGACCAATCGCGTGAGTAGATTTAGGCTAATGCACGAAGATTGTATATTAATATATAATAGTTTACGTCCACGCATGATTGAACATTGTATGTTGAAAAACGTTTTGTTTCTTGTTTTAGTGGGTGGCTCTCCACCACAAGGTGAGTGTCTGTGCGTATTTATGGTAAAATTCACACCCATTCTTTCAATCATGGTAATATATTCAAACAATATGTTGACAAATTAACGAGGGTACTCGATCTACTTAAGAACCACAAAGCACACCTATGGACTGTTTGGGAAAAAATGCAGTTTTTTTTAATTCAAAAAAAATTTTCGATTCTTCCAAACAATCCGTAAATTCGTGACTACGTTGACCCCGTCAACGTAGATTGGAAAACGGCTTATATATATGTATCTATTTACATTTACGAGGCGCAGATCTATGCACCCCTAATCCATGTAAGCATGGGTCTTGCTCAGTTGATAGTGATACCGCCTCAGGATTTGTTTGTCAGTGTTCACCTGGTTGGACGGGGGACTTGTGTAATCAAGGTGAGATAATAATCTATCTGATAATGAGATGCATGATTTTGTCTAAAATTATCAGTGGCTATCAGTCCACACAAGAGCAATGTCGTGACCTTAAATAGGCTTTTCCCATGCTATCAGAATACTTTATGGCCATTGGAATCATATTAGGAAGGTAAACCATAAATGTTCTATGGTTTTAGATGTGTATTTTTGAGGTTTACAACAGGAGACTGATGAATCAGATATTCATTAATGTCGTTGATATCGCCAGCCGTTAAATATTTTTGCACCAATTATTCCTCACACAAACTCTATACTTTACCCAATTGGGAGTCATTTCTTTGTAACAGTGGCGACACATTATGCAAATGCTGTGTCGGCTATAACATTTTGCTATGATAAATGACATAAGAAAAAGGCATGTTCGAAATAGGTCGTCTTAAATAGATTGTCTTAAAATTTGTTCTTAAAAGAATGTTTTTTAATGAAGTAAAAAACCACCCGAGCTGCCACATTGCTAGACTTGCTACAAGTCGACTCTTTAAACCCACCACGCGTTCCCTTCCCTCGCTTTCGCGACCTCGCTACGCTCGGTCGCTCAAGCTCGCGTATAGGTTTAAAGAGTAGCAAGTCTACCACATTGCCTACAAAATAGACAGCAATGCGCACGCTCAGAGTATTTTTTGCAGCTAAGCAACGTTTTTTTATCAAATGCGCATGCTCAGACTATTATTTCCATACACTTTTTTACGGTATAAAAATTCAGAACAGTATAAAGCAAATGCATAAAACCTTTGCTTATACAAGCACATCAAAACTTTCTTAGATACATCACAAACAATTGGGACACCAGGTGGTCAATCCACACAAACTCCATCTGTTGACAAACCAAGTACTGGTCAAGGACGTCTGGAACCTCCAAACAAATCTCAAAGTCCAGCAACATCGCCTAATGTCCTCAGAGTCCTGCGCAGTCTCCGTCCAACCCAAGACCACCACCGGGCGAAAGCGGGCCTCCTGGACCACTCCAAACACAACAATCTGGAACCCCTTTCTCCCCTAAAAATCCAGCGACGACCCAATCCGTCTCGCAAGTCCAATACCCCACGAGGCCTTCAAACATCCCTCCAGGTGAACCTCAAAATCCATCAACATCTCCTGATATACCAACTCCTGGACAATCCTCCCCTAGCCCTGGCCAATCCCCAACCAAAAGCCCAGGAATCTATCCTGGTGGAAACATCGATCCGGTCCAACAACCATCCACAAGCCCTCGAGGTCCAGGTTCGAGCCATCCAGACCAGGCCCTCTTCCTCCAAGTGCGTCACCAACAGAAAGACCAAAAGGTTGTCCACCGTGCCCCGGTGAGAATAGAGAATGGAGTGTATGATTTATACTTAACAAACATTATAATATACGTACTCGTATACTTAGGCTTAGTTTAGCGTGTTTAGTTTAGGCTTAGTTTAGTGTAGCAAATGCATCGCTACATGGCGGGGTGGGGCCGATGGGGTTGGAAAAGTTGATCAAACTGGGAAAAATAATCTTGCTGTCTTGTGACCAACAGCCAGTGTCTGTTTGGCTGGTAAAACAAGCTCTTACGATCAAATAGAAAAATCGACATTCCTCGACATTTTTAGCGGTATATATGTTTTCAATATGCAAAGTTTGCAACGCTTATAACGTTACAACGTTTTTACGTTAGATAAGCCGAGCGGTAAAGCATCGTCTACCAAATTCCAACACACAAGCAACATCAAGCTCACCTGGAACATCAAACCCGCCTGGAACATCAAACCTACCCGGAAAATCGAACCCACTCGGAACATCAAGCGCACCCGAAACATCAAATCCACCAGAAACAACAAGCCCTCCCGGTACATCAGACCCTCCCGGAACAACAAACCCACCAGAAACAATAAGCCCACCCAGAACATCAAACCTACCCGGAACATCGAATCCACCCGGAACATCAAGCGCACCCGTAACATCAAACCGACCAGAAACAACAAACTCTCCAGGCACATCAAGTCCACCCGGCATATCAAGCCCACCCGGAACATCAAGTCCACCCGGCACATCAAGCCCATCCGGAACATCAAACCCACCCGGAGCATCAAACCCGCCAGGAACATTAAACCCTCCCGGTAAATCAAGCCCACCTGGAACATCAAACCTACCTGGAGCATCAAACCCACCTGGAGCATCAAACCCACCTGGAGCATCAAATCCACCCGGAACATCAAGCCCACCTAGTACATCGAGCGCGCCCGGAACAACAAGCCCACCCGGAACATCAAGCTCACCTGGAACATCAAACCCTTCCAGAACCTCAGGAGAATCCTCCAACGTTCCGGGAACATCGGCATCAAATCTTCCAGGAACTTTAAACCCCACAAACCCCACTAATACGTCTCTAGGTAACCCAGGCACCCCTTCATTAGCACCCAGTTCGCCCCAAGTTCCTACCAATATTCCCAGTAGTTCACCTCAAGGTCCTGGCAATACGCAGAATTTACCAGACGGCCCTCAAGATCTTGGAAAATCTAATGCAAACACATCAAAAACCCCTAGTACGCAAAAGATTCCTAAGACATCTGGCGGGTCTCCAGATGCTCATAAAACTTCTGATAAAACCAAATGCACGCCAATACCTCCAGGTAATCATGAAAAAGCTGATAGGTATTTAGCCAAAGGGTTTTCTTGGGTCTACAGTTTAGGGTGATTAATTCAGTAAAGATACAGTTAGATCACAGTTATAATATACGAGAAATAATTTGAAATTCCTGCCACGAAAACACCCCAACCATACAATTCGAAAGGGTTGCGTGCGTATTATCCTTTCTTTCGGGTCACAAATTCTTTGAAAATCTATCCAATTAAAAAAGTTGCATTTTGATCGGATACTGCACAGTTTTTTTACTAAATATCTTATAGTATATAACTATTATTTATTTAAAGGAATTGACAGCCTCTGAGAGCTAAAAGCTTTGAGAGAAATTGTCATTTCCAACAACTGCACGCTATTGCGGCATTACCTGTGATAAATAGTCGTAGCGCATGCTATAACCCCTGAAGGCTGGCCTACACTTGTACGAACGGTCAGTGCGGCTGATTTAGCGCATGCCCGGTGACTCGAAACTTTTCACTAAGCCGGCCGTCGCGGGTAATTTTTTATACGTATGACAGTAGAACTGTAGTCTACTTTCAAGGCGTCCGTCAACGCGCGAGCCGTGCGTGCGATTTCGGCGCATACGTACGTGCAAGTGGAAGCCGGCGTTTACAGACGAGCAAGTTTTCTATGACAAGTTTTTATGTGACAGGTTTTAATTGTTCGTCTGTACTCCCATGCAACTTTGACAATTTTTTCTATGACAAGTACGCTTGTTCAAAATTAAGTATTCTTGATTTTGAACAAGTGTACTTGTCATAGAAAAAATTGTCAAAGTAAAAATTTCGCTCGTGTGTATGAGCCAACAAAGAAAACTTGTCAAAGTAATGTGAGCACTTGTATGAGTTTGACCAGCGGACTATTGTATTTTGCAGTGGCAGCTAGCGTTAGCGCTGTACGTTTGACTGATTTGGCGATAAAAAACTGCTCTGGTTAAAAGAGAGTTTATGGAATATTAATTCGGAAATCGGCATCATATAGAGAGATAAAAACAAGAACTGAATTGCGTTATTATCACATTGCAATCCTTACGTTATTACATTATTCAGAAATGAAATTCAAAAAATGGCGTCTGTTTGCGCGCTTACGTTTTTCGCTTACGATCACGTACATCGCTAATTGCAAACTATTTTCTCAAAGTAAACTTGTTCACACATTCAGACGAGCAAATAAAACTTTCCAAACTTTCCATTTGTCATTAGAAAATTTGTTGTATACATACACACTGCAATTGCCAATTAAAACTTGTCTTTGTCTTATTACGTTCAACGTCATTCAATTATCTGACAGGTTTTCTGTTTTTGATCTGAGGTTTTGGATGTTAAAAACTTTTTTCCAGGATCAAGTATTTGTTCCTCGGCACCATCACAAAGCCTGGCAGACGCCTCTCACACATACCACTATCAATTGCCACCTATCTTTGGGCCATATGACACCGGAGGTAGGAAAAAGCACACACGTTATAATGATTATAAATGCTACTATATAGCCTAATTTGAAGGGTATGGCTATTCTGCACGTTACCTCTGGTATACCTCTAGATGCCCTTCGTGACGTACATATAGTCAGAAATTTAGTGTTTGGATGGTCTTATCCAAACACGCGGGAATGTTGCAAGAGTTAAGAAAAGTTCCGCACCAGCCGAGGGTGCACTGTAAAAACTGAATGGTTGAAATGACCAAAAAAAAAGGTTGCAACCATATAAAATGGTTGTTTCAACCAATTAAATTGGTTAAAACCAAATTAAAATGGTAGAAATAACCAATAAAAAATTGGTAAAATGGATATGAAAGCTCATATTGGTAAAAACAACCAAATATATTTAGTAGCAACAAATAAAATTTGGTTAAATTGACCAATTAATTTTTGTGGTCAATGGGGTATATTTGTAGACCTCTGGTTCTATGTTCTATTGAATCCAATAGAATATGCTAGAATGCTATAGCACATTCTAAATCCTATGGCTATAGAATATTCTATAGGACTTCTTATGATCTTATGCTATATAGAATTCCATAGCCGTATTCTATAGAATTTACAAATCCTATAGAATATTAAATCTTAAAGTTAAAATTCTCAGCAAAAATCACTCGTTTTGTAAGGACAAATCACACATATTTCACACTTATCTGTAAACTGTTTTCATAATATACCTGTTCGCAGGTTATGTGGCGGGCGTTTTGCCCAAAAAGGACCGCAAGGTTATGTGGGACTTGTATATAACCGACACGCTTTATTTTCAAATTTTGAGCGCGTCTTTGACTCTTTGTCATCGGTTCAAGGTTTTATAGTAGAATTTAGTGAGTTTTTCTTTCGTATTTTAACATAAAATACGCGTTATTTGAATTTGTCAATGAGTAGTCATGCGAAATTGGTGAAACACGCTGGATTAATATGCGAGGAGATCCGGATTATTTGTGAATAGTGACTGTGATCGCGAGGAAGAAGTAATTGTGTCATGGCCATGTGGAATTTCTAAAGTTGATAAGAAAATAATCAAAGGTTCCATTCAACTATCTACAATTTCAACAACAACATGTGTACAGCTAAAGTATTATAATTCAGTGGTGAGTGTGTTTGTATATAGTATATGTTTAATATTGACTATTTTTTCAGATCAGACTTTGTATGGCTGCTGGACACTTTTTCAAAACTTTGTCTAGCTGTCACATGCCTACTAGTATTAATTAAATATGAAATGCCCTCTATATATAACCATGCACTGAGTCATTTAAAAGATTACTTTATTCACTCCATCAAGGCTTCAAGATCACCTTTGAGTGCAAGATTCTTGTGACTGATGCTGAATCAGAAATCCTCAAATTCTGATGCTGAATCAGAAATCCTCAAATTCTGATGCTGAATCAGAAATGGCAAGTATTATTGTATTTATGCTGTCAAAACTCAACAACTGCAAATCCTACTTCTGGTGAATCATATAGATAATATAATATACCTTTTATTTATATCATTATAAATAGGGCTATTACAACTATTTCTGTCAATGCTTTTGCAGTACATTTATAAATTCTATAGCTATATCATCGCATCATGCTAAGAATGAATAAGGTGTCAAATGTTTAAATTTCATATTTACTGTTAAAATTTACAGATTTTCTTATATCCAAACATATTAACCAAAGGTCAAAATTTGGTTTATGCAATTATGGGCATGTCGAGGATGCAAGAACAACTTTGCTCTCATTCCATCCCTGGGAAACTTTCAAATGTCTTTAAAGAAAAGGATGCAAAACCCCAACTCGACCCAGAGAAAATTAAGAGTATATGTGGTAAGTAGTAATTGTTAGTAACTATTTGTGGAAGTTAATATATCTTATATACATATCTTGGTTTAGCTAATTGTTGACTTTTACTTTTTCTGTGTGTAGAGCATCATTTCGATGCACATGTTTAAGATGCCGAAACATTGATTCAAAGAAGCCATCAATGCTGGCTGCTCTGGAAAAGAACAAGAACAAAGATGTCCAACACATTATTGGTCTATTAGAGGATTGTCACCCGAACTAGAAAAAGGTATCTACAGATATATATGTATATAATATACAATGTTGAACTATGCAAATCACATTTATTATGTTGCCTGCTGAATCTTGTAATCAAACTTATTTAATAGAAATTGAAAACCATTGCATCTACACTGCCCCGCTGCATCAGTTGAGGCAGAGAAAGACCTGGACAATTATTTTGGGAAATTGTCCCTGTAAATATTAAACTATAGTTCAAGAGTTATATGTTCAATATGCTCAAGTGGCTGCTTGTCAAGTGTAGGGTCTTGCTCTTTTGTGTCCCAGGATTTTTCCCATATGTAAATGTTTTATTTCCAAGCTTAGGAATATAAAGTTTTATAATTTTTAAATTTTATTTTAGGATGACAGTGGTGTTGAAATTTAGACCATTGTAAAAAAAAGAACATTCCCGAAGTTGCTATTAACTGGATCTCTTGGTGACATCCATTCACTAGACCTTTTGGCTGAAGGCATGGTAGCAATAAAGTTTAAGCAGTTTTCCATCTTAAATGCTGTTGTGTGTTTGCTGACTGCATTGTATGTATCCAACACAGAGAACCCTAAAGATGGAGGTGGGTAGACAAAGAATGTGTTCCTTCTTCTGGACCAGATATTACTACAAACAGACGGAAAAACGAACATTCCAATTGGAGTTAAAAACTTTTTACCGCAGCTTTGAGAACCTGGAAATGACTTAAGTATAGATAGATGAATCCTAGTAAGATAAGTGTTTGAATGTAGTAATTTGTATATATGTATGCAAATAACCATTAGGATAATTTATTTATTATATTAGATCTTTTATAATATATTTGTGTGTTTTGACAAAATTTGATTTGAAGTGCTCTGAATTTCAGGATAATTTAACCAATCTTTAATTGGTTGAAATAATTGGTCAAAAAAACCATTGCACATTGGTTACATTAACCAAATTCAATATAGGTTACATCAACCTATTAAATATTGGTAGATTCAACCAATATTAATATTGGTAATTTTAACCAAAATGAATTTGGTAAAAAAATAACCAAATTTTAATTGGTTGTCCTGGTTGCATCCAGGAGAACCTTTTTTTTTTGGTTGTTTCAACCATTCATTTTTTACAGTGTGATTTTGCGAGCTTTTCTTAATACAAGCATTCCCAAGTGTTTCGATCAGGCCGCCCAAACACGGGAAACCATTAAGTTATTGTTTTAAAAAATAGGAACAATAAGGTGGTGTTCCAAGTTTGATTTCCATAAGCGAATTAAATTTCCGTCTTTGGATAGCCTGATCCAAACACAGGCTTCGAACAATCAGAACAAACGTTATATACATGTTATTTTATAAAGAAAATTGAAGAATATATCATCTTCAAAATCTGATGTGATTATATAAAGAATGGGAAGTCATGATAATATGTAGAAACTTGCCGACTTAAATGAACTAAAAGGGTGATAACTGAGATTTGGAACTCTTTTAACAAAATTTTATATTTTCGATGAAAACATATTTCTGATAAAAATGAGAATTTAAAAAATGACAATTGCATTTCGTCATCAGTTCCCAGCTGTTTCAATTTCGGCAGTACTAAGAATTACTTAAAATAGGCCCTGTTGGAAGAATTTCCAAACTTAAAGATGCGTATGGTAATATATAAATAGGATAGTTTCATCAGACCATGCACAACTAGTCACTGCAATACGTCCTGTAATTTGTACATTATAATGATTTTATCAAATTATAACTTATCAATATAATTATAACTACACTACTGTCAAGCGGTAAGCTAGGATTAAAATGAATTGTAGAGCAATTTCTTTATTTTCTCATCCGCAGGGATGTAAGACGAACTTGAATCTTGTATAATTTAGGCAAAGATTTTATAAAAACTCCTTTAATCACTTTATATATATTCACCTGTAATCTTAGTCCCTGCAAGAGACACACAGGCAATGATTGACTTATCTTCATTATTTCATTAAAAATGTCATTTGCGTAAGATGCTTTTTGCATTTCTTAGAGTTGCTTTTTGCAACATCATAGCTAAATCAAATTAGCTAGGGGCGAAGGGTCTTAATTTAGAAATCATACATACCCTAATTTCAAGCCATGGTCTGAGAAAAATGCGGTCCTCCGGCATGAATCGAATCACGCCCCCCGTGACGCCGGTAAAGCGTCGAGATCAAGACCCCCTACCTTAAAGAAATTATCCTACAGTGAGTGGAATGCCACAAAATCTAACTATATTTAATTCCCTCACCTAAACAAATTGGCGTTACACAGCAAAGTCTCCCAACAATGTTCTTTTGTTATGTAGATGATTATGGCTGCACACCACAGTGTATGAGTGATTGCACATCGGGAGGTTGTTCTGGCGCATGTTGCAGGTCGTGTCCACCCGTATGCAAGAGAGTATGTCGTCCAGATTGCCCGTCCAGATGCTGCGGAAAAAACGCAATAATCCCGCAACGGCGTCACGCAATCGCGAGACCATCCCGCCCGATCACGAGATCGCACCGCGCAACTGTGACTTATTGAAACTTTTGAGGTGCACTGAATTGTTGATAATCACCAAATAGTTGTCGACAACTATAAACCATTTAATATTGCAGCCCGACTTTATTATATTATCATAGGTTCTCTATATTTCTATACATAAGGCTGTTTTATTAAGGTGAAATTTTGTAACAATGACATGTTACGAAGCGATTTAGTATCTTTTAATGGTTATATGCTTTAAACTACCTGCGTAACAAGAACGATAATGGGGGGGGGGGTGAATATTCAGTTTGTAAGTGCAATAGCTTAAAGAAATACGTCGAAATACATATAGAAATACGTCAGGCAGAACTGAATATATTAGTATTCACACCCCCCCCCCAATTATCGTTTTAGTTACGCCACTGACTACCTGGTATCCCCTGGGAAACCTGACCTCTTTATTTTAATATAACTCGGCATCTATAAAACTTAAAGTTATTGAGTTGAAATAAACTCCATTGCATGCGTGGGCTAACTTAAATCTTGACCTAAAGTACAAAATTATTGGATTGACGGAGATACAATAATTTAATTTTGCATGCGACTTTGAAAATTTGTAAAAATATGACCGGCATACTTAAATTAATTGCAAAATACTTGCCACCTCCGTTGAAGGATTTTCATCAGCATATTCTAGTGAAGGTCGTATTTTAGTGCAGTAAGTTGCATAGCCGACTTCCGTAGGAAGATGTGCCTTAATTCCTACACTCCTTGAGATGATATAATATCTTGCTACTTTTACGTGTGATTTCTTTAATGTTAGAATTCCATTTCAGATTACTCTGACAACCAAGCCCAAGTAACTTGAAAATGTCTACTCTTTCAATAATAATACCCGAAATAGAAAGATTGGGAGGTTGCGGAATAGACTTCCCAAAGCAAATCCACACATTCTTCGTTTTTTCGCATTTAATTGCATTTTATTATCATCAGACCAGTTTTTTACCGAATCCAAGACTTGCTGCATGTTACTGCATTTTCCCTGTATAACGCGCCCACTTTGTGTACAATCGTCAGCGTCTTTGTGTGTACTGATTCCTAGGTGTTCAGAAACACAGGTGCCGGTTGTATCATGCATGTAATAAAACGATAGACGTACTTTCAATTTTGAACTTAACCACCGTTTAAGCTAAACGGGCTTGATACATGAAAGCCGGATAGCGCTATTCACCGGAAAGTGATTTTTTCAACCGTTCTAAGACTAAAAGTGCTTGAAAAGCAATAAAATGTCAGCTTTGGAACCAACAATTATTAAACAAAATCCTCGATTTAGGAATACTAAGATTTAATACCAAAGTTATACAAAAAAACGGGCGCTTTTGAATCGATTGAAAAAACACGGTGGATAGCGCTATCTGCATGGCTTTCATACAACTGGCCCCATGCAGGTGTCTAAATCGTCGATGTGTATATTGAATAAGGTTGGGGAAAGTACAGATCCTTGTGGTACTCCAGCAGGACAGCTCTCGGTCGATGATAGTGTTCCATTTATCATAACTTGCTGAGTTCTACCTGATAGGTAGCTTTTAACCCACAGCCAGAAACTTTATTGACATTCATTCGTGCAAGTTTATGCACCAAAATCTAGTGCTCAACTAAATCAAAGGCTTTTTTTAAAGTCTATAAATAGAGCACGAAAGCTGATTTATCACAATGGGTAGCATCTGTAGCATTAAACCATGGTTGTTTGATAGATATCAGAGCTTATGTGATAGAGGGGCCATTAGTAAAGCCACGCTGGCGAGGACGTAATGTGAAATTTTTATAATTTAATTGAAGTTTATTTTCTCTAAAATTTTCGAGATATGTGCATGGTAAGACAGATATTTGCCGAAAGTTATTGTTTACATCATTTGGCGGATATACTTTAGGCACAGGTGTAATAACGCCATGCTTGTAATGACTTGGATACTTGCAACGTTAACTGCTGGCTGTTATAATTTAATAGACTACCAGGCCGGGGATGTGACCCAAACTGTTTCAAAAATATTGGCTGTTGGTTGGTAAATATTTTTAAGAGTTATAGTCTGGTCAGTTTGAACAAAACAGTCAGAAATTGTTAGGTGTATCAAGTCGGCTTGGGACGGGTTGTTCAAATGCAGGTTAAATCTTTATCCCTAGGTTAGTTAAACCTGTGTTGTTCAAAGCGGGGGTTATCCATACGGTTAGTTAACCCAAGGGTTAAAATATTTAACCCATGCAGGATTAAATGTATTTTGAAGCCTAAATTGGATATAAGAGCGCTTTCGATTGGTTGATAAACGAGTGTCAAAACTGTAACCGAGGACGAAATATTGTCAGTCATTTTTGTGTATGGAATTTTGGAAAGTTTCGAAAGGGTTGGCTTTATGTAAAAGGAACATGAAGATAAAAAAGAAGTAAAAATTATATTATGTTTGGGAGAATCATAAAGAATCAAACCTGCGTGGAAGTGTATTAGTAAAAGGTAAAATTATAAAATTAAACTGTGTGTCTTACAAAAAATTGTTGTTGAACTTGGATAAAACAACGTGATGAGCCATCTTAAAGTTGTTATGTTTAAACGAGTGGAAATTTAACCAAAGATCGGCTTAGATATGCTTAAGAGCAGAGTTGTGTTCGTTCAAGGAGCCGATCGAACAGGGACAAAGGATTGCAAGCGTGTGTGCATAAAATGCATTAGTATGTTACGTCATTGGAGTCAGGAGTCAAGGTGTATGTTGGGGACAGTGGGGGTTTATGTGTCAGTCATAATGGTTGTGTGTGGACATCAGAGGTTTAATTGTGTTTTGGTCGTGGGCTGTACTTCATGTAGTATGGTTGGTACGTTGTTATGTTAAATACTTTAGGATGTTCCGTTTGTTGTAATTGTTTGTACTTGTGTTGAATTTTGGTTGGTTTTGTGTTACTTGTGGTGTGTGGGTTTTTTGCGTCTAAGAAAATCCAGGATTTGCTGTTGCGCAGTGGCGTGCTGAGGCTTGTAAATTTACGTTAGCGTATTACTTCATTAGTTATAGAAATAATAGAACATGCGCCAATACACAAGAATAACTCAAGACACAAGTATAATCTCTAATATAATATGCTTCGAATGCAATTCGTATTTACATTCACCAAAACATGAACAACAACGAACCCCGGAAAGCGCGCGAAAGCGCCGGAAGTGAGTCTAACATGCAATACTAATTATCTACTTCATGTAACATGCCACGAGGGTGTGGCGATGGATGATAGAATTGAAAATTCAGCCACCATTGGCCGATGGATGCTCAATCATTAATGGTGCATTTTCCTTTGCAATCAACCTCATACCCTGGGCCTATTTTTGGTATAACAATTTGTTTTTAATTCTAATTTTTTTATGTGATACACTGACACTCCATTTTTCTTTAGGAATCGTGGCGATAGACGGCAGTCAATGGGGCCCTTTGGGACCCCAACAGTTGGGGGCCCTTAGTTCTTGTCCTAACCCTACCTTACGTCCGTTACGCCACTGCTGTTGCGTCTTGTAGTTCAACTGAGACGGAATGTTTGTGTTAGGTGCTGGTTGTTGCTCAGTATTGTTTGTTGATGGGTTTGCTGTCTGCTGTGATTAGGTTGTCGATAGTGGGTTGGGATTCGAAGTTGTGGTGTTCTTGTTAGTGTTATTGTGCTAGTTGTTCCGGATTTGTGGCGGTGTGGTGTGTGGGCTTGCATGAGGGGTTTTGGTTTAGGTCTGTTGGTTGGTGTATGTGTGGAATTTTTGGTTGGTTTGGTATTGTTCTGTATGGTGCCCTATGGGATGAGGTTGTTGGAGTGATTCTAGTATTTGTGTTGTTAAGTCGTTTAAATTTTATGTCGCGATTGTAGGATGGTGCTAAGCAGGCTTGTTTTGTGTATTTGGTTGCAATGGCGCTGGTTTTTATAGTATGTTGTTGGCAGTCGTTTATGCTGTTCTATGTTTGTTTTTTTCTGGTTGTGATAGTCAATGGTTACATTAAGTAGTTCTTGTGAGGCATTCATCCAGGGGCGTACCCAAGGGGGGCGCAAGGGGGGGCGGTCGCCCCAATGGTCTTTGAAACCATTCTTATGAAATGTTTAAATCCAGCGGAATATAAGGAAGGGGGATCAAGTTAGGTAAGCAACGAGTAATCAGTAAATCTAAAGAGATTTTCATGTGTATTGTTCGTTGTTCTAATGTAATAATGACAGAATTTTGCTATTTGTAACCTTACGATTACTTCTAAAAGCTCGTATCAAAATGCGGGAAATGGCGTTTCCAAGCCTTAGAAATCCAAAATTTTCCCCGCGGGAGCATGCCCCCGGACTTTGGTACCTACAATCATGTGCAAAAAATTGAGACACGGTCATGACACCTAGTATCTACCCCCCTCTCCCCCCAAAACAATGTTGTTTCTATGATACCAAGCCATTTGATTTGCCGAAAATATCACTCTCATTGTCAATGGGGGAAGGGGAGAAATAGTCAATAGTTTAACGAATTACGTGACAAAATAGTTGTCAAAATGAAAAGAATGTGTTTAGAATACGTAAAGTCTCATAATTTTTGCACATGATTGTCCATGCCCCCTTGGCTGAAAAAGGCGATCTACATTCAATAAATTTTTCTATAAAGCTATCAATAGCTACCACATATAATTATTCATCGGTAGAGTTTGAGCTAAAAAGATTTAATTAGTGGAAATATAATTTCTAAAGTCGGTTTACATCAAGGTTAATTATTAGCTTTCAGCGGGAAATTTGAATTTTTCATATCGCAACTTAACGGTTATGCAAAATGGCGGTACCAATAGACGAAATTCATAGCAGAAAACCACGGCGTTGCTATTTAATAACATATAGCCAAGCCGATCTTCAAAAATTTCGTACTAGAGAATCGTTTGCTGATGATGTAGTTGAAACCTTTACATCCCCACGAAGCAAATCATCGCCACAACACTGGGCATGTTGCATTGAGAGGCACCAAGATCACGGTGTGACGCGCGATCAAAATGATTGCGTAATTAATGCATGTCGCAATACATAATCATGTAAATAGAATTTGCTAGAGGAACATGATGATTAAGTGATTATAAATCAGACTGGGGCTGGAAGCCGTGCTGTGACTGTGTCTTGCAGGATCTTAGGCGTACGCT